AACAACCTCACTGTGAGGTCAAGGTGTCTTCTGTCAGTCTGGAACTTTCCAGTATCTTGATGCTCTCCTTCCCAAACTGAGAGCAAGAGGGAGTTGTAGGAGACTGAAGGTCACTGGGCTCCCTTTGGGTCTGGTATGCTAAGGCCCGTCTGTGCCTTTTTTTTTTTTCCCCCTAAATTAATTTTGGACTGAAAAAGGCTCAAAGAAGGCTTTGTTCCTCTGACACTCTGGAAAAAAGACCCGTGGGAAGTCTGACATCTGCAGCAGGAGTGAGTGGATGGGAGGAGCTCAAACGCCCTCCGCTCCTGAAGAATGCCTCAGGTTTCTGTCTCATCTCAGCTTCAGATTTGAGTGACATTTTAATTATTTTGGGTCTCCTTCTCCTTCTCCTTCTCCTTCTCCTCCTCCTCCTCCTCCACCTCCTCCTTCTTCTTCTTCTTCTTCTTTTCCTGGTGTGAGTCTCCAACGAGTCCCTCTCAAATTCTGAGAGATGCAGAACGCTGTGTCACTCATGGGTGTCAAGGTTAGCACTGAGAGTGGGACTCGGGTCCCTACTTGGCAGGTGCATTTTGTCAGCAGCCAGTGGTTCCACTGTGTGGACACAGGACAGGGTCTTTGAAAGCTAAGAGTACTCAGGCACTGGGCAGCCAGACCTATACAACAGCACCATGTTCATGTGACCTTGAATGTGCAGGGCAGGAATTGCACTGGACTCTGTTCCCAAGACTTTAACCATCTGAGTGTTTTTGTTTCCCAAGAGGTGACTTGGTTGTCAGAGTAACTCAACCAGCCAGTCTTTAAATAGAGCACTCCTGAGACACTGAGCACAGCTCAACTCCTTGCAGTGCACACGGCTCCCCTGTGGCATCAGGATTGCTGGGAGCCCTGTGGGACCTGTGTCACCCTAGAGACATCGCTGCTAGGCAGGGAGTGCTTCCTCTAAAACCAGCCTTCACAGGCAGATATTCATTAGGTGGTATTATGTATAGCCCTGGTATGAGAGCTTGCATGTTCCTACAGGTGCAAGGCTGGCTTTATGTATGTGATCACTTGATGGTCCCTTGGGTGTCAGTGGCTGCATTTGAACACCAGCCTTCAAGGAGTCCAGGCCTGCATCTCTATATGGCCATAGCACTTTGTGGTTCACATACCAGATCTACCACTCAGCCAATCTCCTGGGCTTCCTTCTGTTGGCATGTCTGCAACTGGGCATGTCCTACCTCCCAGTCCCACCCTGCCTAGGTCAACTTGCTTGGATAGCTGCAGAAGACATTGTTGACCACACAACAGCCAGAGAACCTGGCAGGCAACTTGTGTGCCACCAGGCCCTGTTTAAACGCTTAGCTGCCCAAGTCCTCTCATGTATGAAGGTCATTTGTGTTACCTAGAGCCATCTCCTAACAGGGTATCAGCATAGCTGGAAAGGTGCTGTCCTGGCATGATTTCATTGTGTCACCTACTGACTTTGTTGGGCCCAGTGTCCAAGAGACCTGAGCTAACCCAGTCAGCCAGTAGATGGTAGTCTCAGCTTTGCCAAGGGGTCTGGTAGCTCTTTTTTATGACCTCCCCATGGATCATAAGCTTTCTGACATTGCTGTGCCATAATAAATACCACCTGCTGTTTCTAGTCAACCTTGCTCTCTCCCCTGATGGCCTGGTTTTGGTTCTAGGGAACTCCTGGCTCTCCCTGTTGGCCTCTCACTGCTCTAGAAACTCCAGTCCTTGCCACACCTCCACCCACTACTCCAGTATCTGCAGGCTACTTTCCATCCATTCTGTGGCAGCTCCTGGCCTCTGTGGGGCTACCCCTTAGTCTGTTTCTGTTACCCCATCTACCCCATATTTGTGTGTCCCTAAATTCATGTGTTCAAATCCTGATCCTTCTGTGGAGGACACCATTGTGAATGCAGTGAATACCCTGATAAAAGGATCCCCAGAGAAGGATCCCCAGAGAAGCCCTTCACCATCTTTCTACCATGTGAGGGCATCACAGGAGGCCAGTTGTCTGCAGCCCAGAAGTGGACCCTTGACAGAACCAACCATGCCAGCCCTTTGACCTTAGTTTTCCAGTCTCCAGACTAAGACATAAATTTCTGTTGTTTATAAATCACTCATCTATGGTGCTTTGTCATAGCAATTTGAGACCTTTTCTTGGCCTTTCTTCTCTATATCTCTGAGGCGGCTGCCCTCTATTTCTGCTGCAATAGGATATGGCCTCTTCTGTGGACCTCATGGGCACTCAGTCCAGGTCTGCAACCTTATGGTGAATGGACTAGTGTGAGTAGATAGATGTTAGAAAGATGATTGGGTGATGGATTGATAGTATGTAGATGCATGCTTGATGGATAAATGATTGAATGACTGGTCAATGGATCAATGATGAGTGGATGAGTGATGTGTGGATGGGTGGGTGAGTGAATGGATGATGGGTGGGTGGATGGGTGGGTAAGTGAATGGATGATGGGTGGGTGGATGATGGGTAAGTGAATGATGGGTGGAAAGATGGATAAAGGAATGGATAATAGGTGGGTGGATGATAGGTTGAATGGCAGATGAGCAAATGGATGATAATAGATGGTGGGTGGGTGGATGAAAGTAGATGGATGGTGGTTAGATGAATGGATGATGGATGAATGGTATATGCATGGATGATGATGGTGGATGGAGCCAAGGGGACTTTCCAGGGACCTTTGTAGCTGCAGGAACTGCTGTCTTAGAAGGCTGGACTAGTTTCTCTGAAACTGATTCTCATCTTCCAGCTCAGCTAGTATAGAAGTGATAGAAAGTAGTGTTGAATCTCTGTATCTTAAGCTAAGATTTTAGTTCTGGCAGAGGATAGTTGTTTCTGACTTAGGAGCAAATCACCTGACCTTTCTCCAAGAGAAGGTAGACAGGCATAAATGCTGCCTGTGGACAGAATGTGAAAGTGGCTAAGGCAGCAGCAGAGGCTGGCTGCTGGGTGCCACTCCACGCTCCACAGCTGCTCTGCCTGTCTCATCTGACCCACAAGAGTAGTTCCTCATTGATCTGGAAACTTCTCACTCCAGTGCCTACTGCCCTTAGCACCAAGCAGACAAGTCCCTGCTTGATCCCCTGGGCTCAAGGCAACAGAACCACTCATGGGAAGGCCCTGCCAGACTGAACCTGGGCTTCCCTCCAACAGTGCTCACCAGCAGGAGCATCCACATGTATATGGAGGCATATTTCCATCCCCTACTGAAGTTTTTGACCCTTTCGAGGTACAGCTGGCAAATCTTTCCTTGACAGTGTCTTGGATGTCTACAGTGTACAGTCTGCCTGTGTAGATTCAGTTCTTTAAAGACACAACTGTGTGTCTGTTGTGATGGCTTTGTTTTGTTTGTATGTGGTATATGTACATGTGCATTGAGGGTATGCATGCACATGTGTGTCTGTCAGTATCTCTGTGTGTTTGTATTCCAGTGGTTGACCTCAGGTGTCATATGTGCATTCTCCACCTTACTTTTTTTGAGACAGTGTCTCGTCCTATACCTGGAACTCACCTATTGGTTAGACTGGCTGGCTAATGAGCCTCTAGGATCCTCCTGTCTTCCAGAGTTAGGATTAAAGATACGCCAGGCATGGTAAGCGCACGCCTTTAATCGCAGTACTTGAGGGGCAGAGGCAGGTGGATCTTTGTGAGTTCGAGGCCAGCCTGGTCTACATAGTGAGTTCCCGGACAGCTGGGGCTACAAAGGAGACCCTATCTCAAAAAGACAGAGACAGAGACAGAGAGAGACAGAGACAGAGAGAGAGAGAGAGAGAGAGAGAGAGAGAGAGAGAGATACACACCACTACACATCGATTTTTGTGTGTGTATAGGGGATACAAAATCACATCCATAGGTGTAATGTAATGCTCTGAGTCTGGAGGCCCAGAACCCACATAAGGCTAGGCATGGTAGCACACAGCAGTCCCAGCACTACTACAGCAAGATGGGAGGTGGAAACATGTGGACCCTTGGAAGCTGGCTGGTCAGGTGAGTTCCCGGACAGCTGGGGCTACAAAGGAGACCCTATCTAAAAAAGACAGAGACAGAGACAGAGAGAGACAGAGACAAAGAGAGAGAGAGAGAGAGAGAGAGAGAGAGAGAGAGAGAGAGATACGTACCACTACACCTAGATTTTTGTGTGGATATTGGGGATCCAAATTCAGATCCTTAGGTTTGCACTTCAGCACTTTACCCACTAAGCCATCTTCTCAGCCCATTTGGATTTTTTTATTATGCACCTATGTATTATGTGTATGTGTGTGTGCATGTTCTTGTGTGTATCTAGGTGCGTATGTATGTGAGGATATAGGTGCATGTGTTTGCACTTGCATGTAGAGGCCATAGGACAATCTTTGGTATCATCCTCAGGAATGCCATCCACCTCTTTTGAGACAGGGTCTCTGGAGCTCACTATGTAGTCTATCTAGACTGGCTAGCCAGTCACCCCAGGGATCTGCCTGTTTCCATCTTTCCTGCACTGGGATTACAAGTGTGCATCACAGTTGCCTGGCTTTTTATGTGGGTTCTGGGTATTAAAGTTAGGTTTTCACACTTGTGTAGCAAGCATTTTGCTGACTGAGCTATCTCCCTACCCTCTTAAAAAGTTAAAAATTACCTTAAAAATTAGTTTTCAAGAAATTTCAGAATAATACAAGAGTGTAGCTTGCCCAACATGGACAAGGCCCTGGGTTCTACCTCTAATACAACTCCCAAAAAAGTACAGAGGTACTGACTATGTAGAAGATAATTGTCCCTGCTGTAATGTAAGCATGTTAATTAACCCTTAGTCATCAGATGAGGCCTGGGTATGTGTTATAAAGTTGTCTGGGTTTTCCTGAAGAAATAGGACTTTCCCTTAGTTCCCTGAAACACAACAACCTAGCCTTTGGTGATAAGTCACTTCTCATCCTCAGAAGTGGATCCTGTTTAGGGTCTTTGCAGTGTAACTTCCAGCCCATGACTGATGCGCTCCTCTGTCTTGCCTCTACAGGGCCTGATCAAGATTCGTGGGGACAAGTGTTGGCTCGACCTCACCTGCATGGACTTCCACTATGAGGTGAGCACAGAACTGGCCACATCTTGAAGCTGTGCATCACCCTCTGTGCACTCAGATGTCCCTTTGTCACTCCTTTCTCTAGGGGTGGGCAAAGGTTACCAGGAGGCTTACAGTGTTACCCCACTGCTGGGGTGGGTGAAATGGATATCACCAGTTCCTCTAGGCACCTGGTTCTTGCTGTCCTGCCAAGTCCTCTAGACCAGGCTAGGCTCCATCCTCCTGCAGCTGAGGCTGCAGCTCTGGCTGTATCTCCCCTGAAAGTGCCTGATGAGGCTATTCCACACCTCCTGCTGTGCATGGGCTCCCAAAGGCTGTGTCCCAGGCCTCAGGCAAGGTCTCAACATAGACCTTTGGCCCAGATCTCCATCCCTTAGGACAAGCCTGCCCCTGCCAGATGCTTATGTGCTGTGTTAGGTGTAGGGGAGGGACAGCTCACCCTTCAAATTAATAAAGGGTCATGTGACTTGTGGTGCTGTTCATCTGTCCAGCATCCTGGGCCAGGAGAGCTGGAAACCTTAGCCGATGTCTCACATTCTTCCCTAGTCTCCTCCTCCATTGAAACTGCAAATGCCAGTCTCTGCCTTTGTCACTTTTTAGTACTGAGTCTAGACACTTAAGTCCTCTGACCACTGAGGACACCGCTCCATGCAGCTGTGCCCCTCTCTCATGTGCTCTGTGGCCTCATTGCTGTAAGCTGCCAGGACACACTGTCTGGGGTTAACTGGGATGTCTCAACTTATTTTTTAAGGTCTTGAGAGCTCACCTACCATCAGCCTCATGTATCCCTTAGAAATCCTGCCCCTGCCTGGCTAGGGACCCCACAATCTCCTCTAGCTAGTGTTGGATCTTCCAGCTGCTGTAAGTGCCTGAAAAGAAGCAAGTTAGACCTTAACTCTGACCAGCAGTGAGCGGTTTACACACATAGGCCACAGCACTGAAGATGAGACCAGAGCCTGGTCAGTAACGCCTGGACTGTCCATGTTCCTTAGGTAGCAGCATCTCACCAAGATGGTCCCATACCCTAGTACAGTGGATGGCAGTGGGTACAGGTCATCTGCAGATTAGTGCTAGCAAGTTTAGGAACTGTCTGGATGCAGTTTTCACAGGGAGCCAATGCTCCAGTGTCTTTCTGACACAAAAATCACATAGGATCTGCTTTGCCAAACAACCACATGTTGGAGCTTGTGATTTTCATCCACATATCTTGCATCATGCATCCCACCTTAAACCTGGGCCCACTCAAGAGCCCCGAAGCATCTCAGGATCTCTACCTGCTTCCTCAGTGGCCTAGTACACATAGGGGGAAGGAGCTCCTGTCGGGTTTGGGTCATATCACATCCATAAAGGCCTGTGGCCACTGCTACATTCTGTCCAGGAAGACCCAGCTAGGAAGGTGGGCCATGAAATTTCCCGAGCCTAACGGCTGCTTTGAACCATAATAGGCCAGAGAGGAAGGCAGTCCCTTTCTCCTGAGGGTCAGGCTGACACTGTTCTGGGGTCTGGTCTTCACTGACAAGAGGGCAGTAGACAGTAGACACCAAGTGTGGCACTGGCTAGCTCAGATATGGGGAAAGTTGCCTAAAATCCAAGTCTTGGATGAGGCCTGCCAGAAACTGAGGCAGGCACAGAGTCAGGATTGGCCTGACATAGTGTACTTGAGGACAGACAGAGGCCCCAGCATCAAGGAAGGGGCTGCTGGCACTTCAGGTCAGAGCTGGGCATAACTAGGCCTGGGACAGAGTCAGGCCTGACTGACCCCAGCTGGTGTGTGAGCAGGTGATAGGGTGAAAGACCTCAGGAAACGATGGATGCAAACTCTCCCCAGTTGACTAACATGGCAGACTTCACCTTTTCCTGGGGTTGCATTTCCTCAGTCTCCATGGTTGGCATTTGACTGGACAGGAGACCAACTTTTTGGTAGAATGTGTGTTTTTGTTCTGACTGGCCACGTGGGTCTCTGCACCTATGATTTCAGTGACAGAGCTCACAGGCAGCAGTGCAGACTCAGGAGGGAAGGCCTCATTGGCTTTGAGCAAAACACATTGAAGGCAGGTTCTCCATCTCAGCCCTGCAAGGACATGGGACCAGACAAGTGGCAGGGCCAAGCCAGACTTATGAAATCAACATCCATGGATGGGTGGGCCAAGCTGTGGCCCTTGAGCTCTGGGAATAATCTCATAACCTTGTAGTACCTGAAACACAGCCCCATGTCAGACACCTGTCTCAGGTGACCCATAGCCTTTGTCCAGTTTGCCAACAAGCCAAGTTTCCCACAGCCAAGTCCAGTCAGATGACTTGTAGATCAGCTCACAGAACTCAGGACAGTCTATTGTGATTCTCTTTATTGTGAAGTGTACATTTGGGAAAAGTCAAAGGGAAGACTTGGGGGCACCTTACTGCCCCTTGAGTCACCAAGCCTAAAGCTTAAGCTTCCTATTCTAGCTTGTGGCCATTCATTGTGTGGGCATGGCTATAGAACTCACCAGCATTGGTGATCATGTCCAGCTCCAGCACCCTGGGCCCTGATGCTCACTGCAGTGCTGTTCTCAAGATGACTCACATGTGTGCACATGAGGTGCCTTTATTATGTCCACTGATCACTGTGTGCAGGCCCAGTGCTGACCCAGCTCCATGTTGATGGCATGTACCCACATGAGCCAGCCTCCCCCAACACATCTCTTGCTGGAACACTGCATGCTAGAAACGCCACCAGGAAGCTGAGGATCCCCAGCCCCCATCATCATGGTCAGCCAGCTGTGCACAGTGTCCACAGAGAATGCTGTGCAATGTTGTGGCCTGTGACACTGAATGAAGGAGGAAACATAAATATAGGTCACCCACAGCAGGTGTGTGCCACACTCAGGTGTCTGAAAGGCATCATGTCAATTAGAGCAACAGGGAGCACAAAGCATAGCAAACCCATGTTTCCACATTCACCCTTGACCAACATGAATGGATTCAGACTCAGCAGCAGCAGAATACTTTCATTTCTCACATTCAGACCTTGATATTTCCTATTGTTGAGCATGTCACTTGTGTAAAAAGCTTCATCCTACAGCTTCCCAGCTAAATCTTAGCAAGGATAGTCATCTTTTGACTCAGCTATTAGAAGGTGTTCTGTAGCCTAACGAGCCATAGCCACCACAGTGGACAGTACCTGCATGTCACACACACCCCTTCTCCCTCTCCCCCCCTCCTCCTCCTCTTCCCTCTCTCCTCCCCTTTTTTCTCTCTCCCTTTGTCTCTGCATCTCTATCTTTCCCTCTCTTTCTTCTTCTCTCTGTCTCTGTCTCTCTCTCCCCCTCCTTCCCCCCTACCTTTCTATGTCTCCCTCTCTCTGTGTCTGTCTCTCTCTTTCTCTCTTCCCCTGCCTTGCTCGGGGCAGCATGAACGAGGTAATAGAATTTTGCACTGTTGCTTTGCCGAGCTGACCTTTAATCCAGGGAAATAAATCACTTTCAGCTCCTATTATTGGTGAAGCCCTGCAGCCTCAGCATGCATAAAAGAAGCCTTTGTGTAGTGTTACTTGTTTTTAAGTTAGAGTTTCAAGCTCATGGTGGGAGCAGTTGATGTCACCTCCACTATGGTCAGCTTGGAGCTCTTCTCAGCACAGCATGGGTGCCATCATTGTGCCTGGGAGCTGGCTGGCTTGGCATGGGTGCATCTGTGCACATCCTTGAAAATCTACATATGTGTTTGGGGGCATGTGCATATTTGTGCACACATGTATACCTGTGTGTATGCACATGTGCATTGGGACTAGTGCACCCACTGCATGTTTCCTCCTGCTGTGTGCTTCTCCGGGTGGTGACAGCCTGCTGCATGAGTCTAAGAACTGGGGTTCCAGGCTTTTTTCCCTGCTCCCTTATTTCTCTATCCAGGAGCAAGGCCTGTGCCCATAGGCAGCTTTGCTTAGCATTGCTACAAGTTTCTCTACTCTTTCTCGAGATAGGGAGGCTTCATTTCCTATATAGGCTCCTTGTCTCTAAGGTGGAGATGATGGCCCCAGGTTGCAGCAAAGACAACACTGACTCTTAAGGGTGCCATGCCCTTGGTTGTGGGCATGGGCTTCCATGTGTCTCAGATGCTGTCTTTCTCCCTCCCTCCTTTGTGAGTCAGGGCAGCCCAACCTGGAGGTGCCATCTGCCATTCCCTCAGCAAGAGCTAAGAGGAGAATGCTGTGTGAAGGAGGGATAGTGAGCATGTTACCTCTCACACAAAACACTTTCTGTCCACACACCTACCTGCACAGCCCTTGCATCCAGAAAGCCTGCTAGTCAGATGTAACTGAGGAGTGGGCAGGGCCCCAATCAGATGAGGCTGGGGTGTGTAATCTGGACAGCTAGGCTGAGGCTATCTCTTCCTCTAAGTTGAATCTGATTTCTCTTAGCCTACATGGTGGATGTGCTTGTGTGTTTCTGTTAGCTGCTTCTTCCCTGCAGGGCCCAGCATCATTTTGTCATCTCTCCTGGTCTTCCAGTATGGAACAGGTGCTCTCAGAAACTTTGGGAAGTCAGTTACAAACATGATTTCCATGGACTGGAGAGCTGGTGCAGCCATTAAAGGCTCAAGATCACAACAAAAAGACAAATATGATTTCCAGGACCTGGATCCCATTGGCAGCCCATACCCTGCAAAGATCTGTAGGTAGATGAAGCCCCAGGGTCCTTCTATTCTTTCAAACAAACTACTATTTCTAAAAGTTCAAGAAGAGACATTATGAAATTTTTGTACTATGGAATATAAATGCCTGAATTACAGAAATGGCCCAAAGGGTAAAGGCATTTGCCACCAAGCCTTATGACTTGAGTTCAAGCCTTGGAACCCACATGGTAGAAAAGAACAGACTTCTGGGAATTGTCCTCTGATCTCTACATATAATGTGGCATATGCTCCTGTATGTGCACACATACACACGCACACAATAATTAATTAATTAAGTGCTTTGAATGACAGGAATTGGGGAGGGGCTGTCATCAGAAAACACAGGTCATACATGT